GTGCAAATGATCTTGTGCTAAGGAAGACAGTTGATGGTGAGGAACTCGCAGGGTCCTCTCCTAGACAGATGCTTCTTTCGCGAGAGCAGAAATTTGCAACGATATAAGAAGAATGCATTGCAATCATTTGGGTCATTGATTCAAAAAGGTATTACTTGTCAATGACAACATTTGTGATCGTGACTAACTGCAATCTTCTGATTTATTTAGATATAAAGAAAAGCAAATTATTAACGTCTCTTTAGATAGGTGTTTGGCGGTCCAGCCTAATAAATTCAGTATAAATCACATGAGCGGGAAACAACATGCGAATGTGGACGCTTTATTGTGCATGTAACTGAAATAATTTTAATATGAATGTAATGAGAAGAGATTTTAATGTGGATTGTATAACTTCAAGAGCACTGAGCGATCTTTTGGAATTGCTCGGGAGTCTTCATTTTGTTTAAATTCATTGTGCTCGTTTTTCCCATGGGAATCATAATATAATTTTAGGTGGATATAGATGGTAACTCAATTCTTGGTTTACCACTATTGTGGACGTCACTGTGGAAATGAAATTCTGTACTAATTTATTAAAATTTTTGAGTTAGCAACTTTAGGCTTAATGCAACTTTCATTAATTTGTTGACGATTCAAGCAATTGTAATATTTTCAAGATTGTATCGAAACACGGTAGTCTTTTGAAAAAGGAGGTAATGTCATCATTATTTAACTCTCGGTGTATTTCAGCTTTGATCAGTAGTGAGAGTTGACTTGACCGGAACTTAATTCCAATAACCTGAATATTTAATATCAGAGGCTGTCAACAGGCACTGTTCTGTTGTTGGTCATGTCATTCTTAATTGAACTTGAAGTAGCTATGTGTTCTTGAATAAAGCATACATGTCACATTTTTTTTTTAATTGCATTATCTCGAACCCTAGCTAAAATACTGATTGTTCTGTGACTGGGTTGGGTACTATCTAGATATTTCTGGTGTAGATTTCAACTTTAGCTTTACATAAAGTTGTAGGCATAATGTAAAATGCAGAGGATTGGGGTGGTTCCTGCAGTCGGGGTGTATTAATCTAGACGAAATGAATGTGTTCCTTGTCATTTACATATGTTTATGACAAAGCTTACCAATATAACGATGACCAAAAAATCCCGAATTAAAGAACAGAAAGAAAAAAATACCACTTACCGGTAGAATTTTTTCAACCATTTATCTCAGTATTTGTTCCAATGTTATTATTGTACTAATATTTGTGTACTGTAGTATATGATGGAATACTCGTGCATTGTACTGTAATATATGATGGAATACTCGTGCATGTACTGTAGTATATGACGAAATACTAGTGCATGTACTGCAGCATTTGATAGAATACTCGTGTATATTTGAAATTGTGTCTGAATGATTGAAGTAGCACGATAGGTGCAAGATTATAGATATTCCATAAATTCCGTTAAAGTCAGGATGCCTAACATTTCAATAGATATATCAATAAGTGGACACAAAGCAATTCATATCATGGTTTTCTTATTGCTAACATATATCAGGAGAGAAAGACAATACTATGTTAACTAAATTGATGAGGGTAGGCGTTATATAAAGATCTAAAAATATACTTGCAGGATTAACTCCCATTACATGATTGGCATAGGTATAACAAAGGTGATCAAAAAGTGTCACTACTGGTCTCTACGACGTGAAGAAAAAAAAAAACACTCCATTGACAATTCTCATCTCATTTTTTGCAACATAAATGATGTCTTGTCTCATTATCGGCAATATAAATGACGCTCCGTGTCAAGTATGAAGATTAGTGGTTTTATAAGTGTGAATTTGTAATCTGGTATACATCTAACCCAACGAAGAACAAAGTCAAGTAGAACTATTAGAAAATTGCAAATATGTAAGAGCAAATAATGTCAAAAGTAACAAACTACCCTGATTGGAACGCCAATGTTTGTTTGATAACCTAAACATTTTCAAACTCCATTATTGCATTTTCAAACTCCATTATTATATATATAATTACAAAACAATTAGAATAAGAAATATTTTACCTTGTGTAAACTTATGATTCTTTGTCTTCTTGCATCAGAGTGGAAACAAAATCATGAAAAAAATATATTTGGCTCATATATATTTATAATTTTTTAAAAACTAATGCACTGAAAATGTGAATGAACAAAAAACAGTCACATGTACAATGGATGTTTGGAGGTATATTATTACAGACCTGGCGGAGAACAATATTTAGATAAACCGTATTGTGTAATTTATTTGACAAGGCGATGATAACAGAGACTGGATTAGTTGGCTTAGTTTGAGTCGACCGAACTATATTTGTCATTGAACTCAAATTCATGTGAAATTTGGTACTATTACTATAATTTTTTCTCGTCTTTAAATCCTAGACACAACCAACTATATTTAGGCTTCATGAGACTTTCACAACAGGTTTTCAGACCAGGTACATGTTATTGACACAACAGGTTTTCAGACCCAGGTACACGTTACTGACACAAGGATATGAGTTTATTATTTAACACTATTTTTTCCGTTGGGATATGACCATGTTAGGTGATAAAACACACAGAGGTTTCAATATGGAATATATATTTGTAAAGGTCATTATCGTGTCTGTGTGTACGTACGTGTGTATGTGTTTGGATAAGTAAACTATATTGACGTTTTTCAGTATCAAATTGTTTATACGGTGCAATTTACAATAATATAAGTGACAAAAGCATTTAATTAACTGGTCAAGAAAATACAATTTTATGCCACCAAAAAGTTGTTGCAAGTTATAGTTCAAAATGTCCAGAATGGTACGTAGTACCATTAAGACATTAATACGCCTAACAAGGTTCTTATTGGTACTTACAGTAGTGTCAAGAAACAGCAAAAGTACTTTATTCCTGATAAAACTTCCAAATTCGGGCAACAAATTATTTTCCGCCAAAAAACTTTATATAAAGATAATCGCTAAATTTCGATAGTAAAGTAGGTCTTTGTTATCTATCTGTCCTGGTAGTGAGAAATGTTCATCAAGAGCACACACACACACACACACACACACACACACACACACACAACTGTTTCCACTTGACCCAGACTCCAGACGCCACTCCAAACTCCACTCCAAGACTCCACTTTATATTGTACACTATGCCTAAGTTTCAGCACCGTTTGTGTGTGTGTGTGTGTGTGTGTGTGTGTGTGTGTGTGTGTGTGTGTGTGTGTGTGTGTGTGTGTGTGTGTGTGTCCACTGAACTCGTGAATGAAACAGTATCATATTGAGATCTTCAATATTTGACATCAAGTTGACTGTGCACTTTTTATGTCGGCAGTTGTCTGCATTTCCAGTTTGGACTTAAACATCACACCGGCAATTAAACCGCATAACTCACTTCAGTATTTCTTATATGAGGAAAACCTCGCAGATTATCTTTCTCACCGATTAGATTACTTTGTTTTCGTGGAGCAAAGGTGCCATCCATAAATGGGGGGGGAGGTGGTCACACATTTTTGACGATGTGTGACGAGGGGGAGGGGGGTTTAAGAAATATGACGTCACATCAAAATGCGCAGCTTTAAATAAAAGTTCCACCTAATTTTCATTCTTGCTTTTTGAATTGCTTACAATTTCTTTAATGCCGTTTTAGTAGCTTCACACGTGTCGTGCACGAGCTCAAATTAACATGGAATTGCCTTCGAACTGCCTACACTCCTACTAGCCCCAATAGTGGCTTATTCCAAAAAGCATTCTTCCATTTCCGGTCCTCTGGTGTTGACAAAGCGAGGTTAAAATACTCTCTTTCGGGAGAGTGAAGGGCAGAGCTTTGTGACGCCATATTTGTTGGTGGTCTGACTTTTTGTGACGATGTGTGACGAGGGGGAAAGGGGTCAAAAAAACGGCCAAAATCGCATGAGGTCATCTATGGATGTCCCCAAATTGTTCACTGATACCATATTTCTAATTTCATAATCTTTCTGGAGCTACATTTCTTGCAAGTTCTCTTCCACTAACATAAGTGAATTTTGATATGCTGGGTCGTGGTCGGGTTGGTGGTCGCGAGCCAGGAGTTTGCTCTGATCATGCGCAGTCGAGTTGGGGGCCGGCAGCAGTTTGCTATGATGGGTTGCGGTCTGGTTGGGGGTTACAAACCACGAGTTTGCTGAGGCTTCATTCAAGATTTGGTCAGCTCAGAGCTTGTTAACTTGAATGTTAGTACTTGACTCACTGTCCTTAACAAACTACGAGAAAGGACTTAACATGTACTCCACGCAAGAAATATAGAGGGAAAAAAAAAAACATTTCCGTGCAAGCTGATAGCGTGATGCCTAGAACAGAAATTAACGAAAACAAAACAATTATTAAGTCCCGTACCCCTGAAAATACCAACAGTCCATAAATTGAACTGAGGGAAATGTATATAAATGTTTTCATTTTTTAAAGAAAGAGATCACCGCCGTAAGAATACAAATTTAATGAAGTTACTGTTGTATTTTCCCCTCCATAAAAACAAAGTGCTCCCCCCCAAAAAAAGTCATGCATTTGGCTTTATGCAAAATGGGAAGTAACTGGACAAATTACGAATTTGATAAATGGAAGTCCTTCCTAAACGAAGTAATCGTATCAGGAACGCCAGTAGAATTATTTTCGCGTGGGGTGGGGACAAATATGTTATAGTCACTAAAACGGATATTTCCCACCCTTTCCCCTATGGCGTACGCCCATGATCCTAATTCATTCGTATATCTGATTGATTAAACAAGAAGGCCTTTCATCTGCGTGCAACTTCGCAAGGGCAATAGGGTAATCTAGAGAGGTACTGATTAAATTATCATATCTCTAGAGACAGTGATGATATCAATCCGCTACATACTCAAAATGTGGAGGATGCTCAATCATAAATATTAGTGTATAAGTATAAACTAACCTAAATATACATATTATTTTTTTATATTTCATCCCATTTTATATTATTTACTGAACGCTCCAGTGGCCTAGCGGTTAGGGCGTCCGCCTCGGATGCGGTGGTTCGCGGATTCAAAGCCCGACAGAGTCATACCAAAGAATTATAAAAATGGTTCTAACAACTGGCTCGCTAGGCGCTCAGCATCGGGAGGTTAGTGCTAGGACTCGTCGGCCTGGTGTCAGGACAATGTGACTGGGTGGGGTCATCATGCAATTTGTCTTCGGCATGATGCTCACGTGCTAGACCAACAAGTAGGTCTCTGTTTTTTTTTATTATCTGATAGCAGCAGATGTCAGATAAAAAAAAGCAGAGACCTACTTGTTGGTCTAGCCCCTGTGCTAGATATCATTATAAACTGCCACGCTGCAGATATCGTAGCGATATGACTGAAGCAGTGTTACAGCCATTGTGCCGGAGGAGGGAGGAGGATATCGTCTTGGCTCCCCCCCCCCAAAAAAAATACATGAAGTTTTCATTGTCAGGGACCTCACAACTAACACAGGGCCTCATTTGTGCTAAATCCGGCACTGGTTACAGTTACGTTAAAATCCAAAACACACACGTGCGGTTACGCACGCGCACGTGCGCGCACGCACACTATTTGCTCTATCAGATTTCATTAATAGTAGTTATAAGTTATGTCCTCTTACACCGACGCAAGAATTATTTATCAAGTTAGATGTCAAAGTGCATTCTGCTGTCAGATTGTATGAAGTACTTAATCGGCCTTTGTAGCATAGGGGAAGTCAGCATGTATTGTATATGGTTGGTGATCTTTTTACACTAAAAAGAGTTGACTTGTATTGTCGGTGACTTCCACTCACAGCCAACTAGAACGGACAGGAAACCTCACTTATGTAATGTGCGCCGAGGCGACACCGTCGTCTCCGCCCCCTAGAGATACGTCATCTAAATATCCTATGGAGGGAAGTGGTCTACCGAAGGTGTAAGTTAATATATAGTTTTCATAATTACTGCGTATTTTGTATATGAATAATAAATCGTATAGTCAGTGGCGTCACTAGGATTGGTGTCACCCAGTATGGTAACTCATGGTGTCACCCCATGGACCCCCTTCCTGCACACAAAAACTTTTATAGACAGTCATGTGCGGTAACTCATGGTGTCATTCCAGTGGACATCCTTCCTGCACAAAAATTCAAAAATATTATAGACAGTCATTTTGGTGTCACCCCCTCTGATGGTGTCACCCTGTGCTGTCCGTACACCCCGCACCCCACTAGTGTCACCACTGCATATAGTGACATTATCACTGTCATTTTACCATAATGGGGTTGGGATGGTAAGGGTCACTCAGATCCTGGTGAGCAGTGCGAGCGTAGCGCCTTGTTGTGTGTTTGCATTTGCAGATAGTAGAAACAGGTATCAATTTCCGGTGGAGACCTTGACGGATGTGTCATTATGAAGATTTTATCCTATAGTTTTATAAATCATTATCTGGGATATCAAAGTACGGATCACAAGGTACACATAGCGTTTCGCAATACCTTGTTTAACTCAATGGTCAGTGTCAGTACGCTCGGGGAGCTTGTCCACATTCAAAAATCAAGATCTGGTGTAAGTCAGAACCACAGTTTGACTAAAGAATATATGTCGTCTGTGCTCATTGCAAATTAAATTCATTGAACGGGTCAAATAATTTCTGTCTTTGCCTTGGCGAGCAAACGATTACATTTATTCGACGAGTTTCAAAAATTTAATTGGAAATGAGCAAAAAGTTTACAATTTATGTCTAACACGACGAAAAATACTTATATTATTGTACTTAACCACAGAATCGTGTCGTGACATGGCTTTGAATTACATTCGGATGCCTCGGTCGTTACTCTAGTGTTTGTATGCCGGCAAGATATCATTTGAATTCTCATTACGTCTTGATAACACGTGTTACACATGAAATTATGATATAGATGATATTTTCATTACCTATATTAATACCGGATATATTTCATGGTGTGGTATCAAAAACATTTAACCGGTAGCGACGTTAAGATATATAGATTTGGTACCACTATATCCGTATTAGCGTAGGAAAAGAACATTTATTTTTATTATATACAAAACTTACTCCAGAATCGAAATATAGAAGATTAAACTCGCCCTTCGGCACAAAAGCTCACCCACCTCCTTTTTCGCAAATTCACTTCACTTTCATAACCCGTTCATATAAATATATCTAACTTAAGAAAGCTGAAGGATTATGTTGACCACATCTGTCACATTTTTGTCAATTCGACCCTGTCTGAAAACAATGCAATACTGACTCAACAATGCATGACAGCGGGTATAGGAAGCAAGGGGTAGTAGCTTCAGAGATAAATGACGGTGTCTGGTGAAATCCCTTTATCAAAGAATTATCTCCGTGCGTGAAATTTGTTGTTGCAAGTAGAACTTTTGTAGGCACACACAAGTAATTGTCGCATTGCATGATGGGAAGCCTTATATTTTCACATGTGAAAATATAAGGATTTATTTGTTATATGTGAAGATATAGGAATAAAAATGAAATGAAAATGAGTTCGCCAATAAGTCTCTGTATTCCACACTTAAGTATATAATACATAAATATACTCTATCCTTAAGATATGGGTATAGCTCAGGGTTGCATATTGTCTGTTACTCTTTTCGGCATCAAAATTAACATGATAGTAATATGCCCTTAATCCAGGGACTGACCACTCATTATATGTCAAGGAGTTTTTAATTTGTGTAGAACAAAGTATACATACTATTGTACGTCAGTTACAAATATATGTTTAGATAGAATTTCGCGATTGGAGGAAGAAAACTGGTTCAGAATTTGTTGAAAGCTAAAATTGTTTACATGCACTTTTGCTGACTACTTCGAATACTCGATGACCGAAATTCTTGCATTGATGGTTCTGCCATTGTTATGTTAGAGACTAAATTCGTATTTTATTTGGGATAGCATAACTCTTCTTCCTCATATTAAATACCCCAGGAGTAAATGTCAAGGAGCTCAGGATTCAATACAAGTCATGGGAAGCTTGGAATGAAGAGCATACCTGCAGGTCTTGCTCTTGTTATACGTGCTTTTAGCAAGATCAATGCTTGCCTATCAATTCACTTTGTACGGGACAGCTCGTATATCTACTTGCAGATCTTTGATGCATTACATTTATGAACTTTTGAATGAAAGTTTTCACTAAAAGATTTCTGATCATGCCTAGTTGGTCACATATCAAAATGGTGCCGATCTGACTTCCATCTTGAAAATCTTCATATTACAACTCCTTAACAGAAAGTTATATTGACGTAGGAGTTTGACCACAAGACTTTGTATGATGTCCTGTTGGTCTTAAAATCAACATGGCGTTTATATGACGTCCATGATGACAGCCAACCAGAGGCAGTCTCAAAGATCTTGTTTTCGCTACTTATACTGGACGGAAAGTTATATTTACACGGGGTCTTGACTAACAGACTTCGTATTATCTCTAGTTGGTCGTAAATGAAAATGGCGCTGATCTGGAGATTGATATGGCTGCCACAGTGACCATCTTAACTATTTTGTTGTTGCTACTATTGAAAGAAAAGTCATATTCATAAGAGAATGTACTTTCAAGATTTATATCGTTAATCATGCTAAACTACTTGCAATGAAAATTTACTCATTCATACAGTGGTCTAGATGGCCGATTGGACATCCATTTTCATAGTCTTGTTGCCACTACTTCTCATAAAGATATGGTCTTATCATAATAAACTTTCATTGAAAGTCTTGATACCATTTTTTCTCATGAAAATATGGTCTTATAATAATGGGGCTTTTATTGAAAGTCTTGTTACCACTACTTCTCATGAAGATATGGTCTTATCATCATGGAGCTTTCATTAAGTCTTGTTACCACTACTTCTCATGGAGATATGGTCTTGACATCATTGGACTTTCATTGAAAGTCTTGTTACCACTACTTCTCATGAAGATATGGTCTTGACATCATGGGACTTTAATTGAAAGTCTTGTTACCACTACTTCTCATGAAGATATGGTATTATCATCATGGGGCTTTCATTAAGTCTTGTTACCACTACTTCTCATGAAGATATGGTCTTGACATCATGGGACTTTCATTGAAAGTCTTGTTACCACTACTTCTCATGAAGATATGGTCTTATCATCATGGGGCTTTCATTAAGTCTTGTTACCACTACTTCTCATGAAGATATGGTCTTGACATCATGGGACTTTCATTGAAAGTCTTGTTACCACTACTTCTCATGAAGATATGGTCTTGCCATCATGGGACTTTAATTGAAAGTCTTGTTACCACTACTTCTCATGAAGATATGGTCTTACCATCATGGGGCTTTCATTGAAAGTCTTGTTGCCTCTATGTCTCGTGTAGAAATGGTCTTATCATCATGGGGTTTTCATTGAAAGTATTCTTGTAATGCTTTGTTTTTGCCATTCTTGAAAGTTCTGCTTTCGCTTTTCCTCTTTTGACATGATTTTTTCAAGGGCACAATTCTTGTTTTTCTTAATACTAGATGAAAATGTCAAACTCTCAATATGCAGACCGTAGGGGCTAAACTGAAAAGTTCGTTATCTCTTCTCATCCCAAATGGATGGTTATATCAATGGAGTTTTCATCATTAGTTTTCTTAATATACATGGTTGGTCCTAAATGAAAATGGTGTCTGTTGTATAGCCATTATGGCTGTCATTGCAGATGCTGTGAAAATCTTGTTGTCACTAGTTTCTTTGATCATCGTGACATAGAATTTGACCAAAACACTTCTAACGATGCCGACATTGTCCTGGATGGACATATTTCAATCAGACATATATTGGGTCCACCGCCGCAGCTAATTTGAAAATTTTATCGCTGTAAAATATCAGTCATTGTTTCAACACACAGGAATTAAAAGAAAAAGAAATTATATTATTTTGAATTCCTATGAATTCGTTTTGCACAGCAGAACATCGGTCCCTTTAAAGGCTTTGTTGTTTACAAAAGCACTGGACCAATTATGACCGAATATAATAGAGAGCATCCAAATATGAATGATTTTCAGGTAAACTATGTGGATCTTGCCTCATTTAC